TAAGGTGTACACAGGATAGGGTAAGGTGTACACAGGATAGGGTAAATGGCTTGTAACTGTATTTACTTGTCACTTGAACTAGATGCATTGATCATTCCAACTACTTCTTCCAAAAGCCCTCCTGTAACACTTTGAAACTCTGCTACAGATCTTTTTTGTTGTGTTGAATGTCGTTGTTGCTCTTGATTAGCTTTGTTAGATGATGAATTTGAAGATGAGTTTGTAGTAGTGTTTAAACCATTTTCCTGCGTTGGAATACTTCGGAAGAAGTCCACTCCTATGCATCATTAAAAAAATTATATTAATATTTATTCCAAAACTTTTCATTTCATTGCCTAGCATTCTCTCAGTAAATGCTCTAAGTAACACTTGATTATCAATGTTTACCTTTAGGAAAGAAATATTTATGGTGTTGTATCAATGCCTCTATTATTGATGACTGGATACCAGTATGCTGTAGACTGACACTGTTAAATATAATAATGTAGTTAGCAATACAAATATCATGACAGCAGAATAACCATAATGCAATTTAGAAATGGATAAAGTATTTACCCATCATGCTTGAGCTGAGAATAAATGATGTTTGGTCCTATCACTATAGCAACATTACTTGCTGTCATCTTGTTGAACTCTGCATGTTCACACAGCTTAGCCAAGAAACAAATCAAATACCTGGAAAAAAGCCATAAAGTATCGAGTACATTAAAAAGGCTTGGGGCAAGATATCCAAAGAATGTAAAAGCTATAATGCTTGATATTCTACCTTAGATTATCTTTATTAGGTTTGGGTAATTTTTCTACAAGTGTCCAGTAAGCTTGTAACTTTGCTCCATTTTCCTGAATACTAAAATATAATGTAAAATAATCAATCATCTTTCCATCATTATAAATTTCATTGATTTTTCTATTTTAGTTTTCTAACCTTGCAGCCTGTATCCATTCATCGTACAATTTGAATGTCATCAGAGGTTCTGGCAGTTCTCGTAGGTATAACTTTACTACTCCTAATATCATGTAACAAACAGATAAGGAGCTCATTTATCTTCTTATTTCAAAGATTTGAAATAAGAAGATAGCTGAGGCAGATTATAACATAATATCCAAACTTCAAAACATCTACCTGTTATAGCATGTAGGTCTATTGAATATTCTGCTAAGTCTACTAAGCCAGCATCAAACTCAGCCTGCAATGATGATCAATATGTGAAGAACTGTGTTAATAACATCCTTACCAAGAAATCTGCACAATAGTCTCTTCCCCTTCTAAAGGATTTTCTTGTAGCCCAAATAAAGGGGTGAGAACCTGTTACCTTTTCTCTGGACATGGTATTAACAAAAGTTATTAACATATTAATGTACCTTTAATTTTCTGATTTTAGATGCACTTCCAGCCAACCGAAATAAGCCCTGTACCAAGAAACAATCTAATTCTGTAAGCTTTTCATAAAATAATGACTACTTAGACTCAATATGTTATACTTGAATGAAAAACTGCACTTACCTGTTCTTCTAGAGCTGTCTCATGTAGGAATGTCAAACTTTCTTCAAGCACAAAGGCTATACTTCTATTTTGAGCTTTCAAATGTTCTTCTAAAGGACATCCAAACACAGGTCTCAATGACGACTCATCTGATGAAAAAGAAAATGGACTTGGTATTATCACATGTACCACAAGGAAGGCATCAAGAGTAACTAGTAAAATTATACTGATCTTATAGTTCAATAGATAATAATCTAAGTACAAAAGTCTTACCAACTTTTATTTTCAGGTCTGGTAGAGCATTTTCCAGAATAACAGCAGCCTTCCTGTGATATTCTAGTTGAGCTTGCATAAACTAAAAATCAAACATTGCTCTAAGTTATTTTCACATGAATATGATTCATAATGTGTGAGTACTCGTAGCATTATTGAAAGACTACATACATGTATAATCCAATCTGCGTATTCTCCTTCTCTGGATACAAACTTCAGAGCTTCAGTAGTAAAGCTATCCTGTTGGACAACAAACAGAGAACTTTAAACACTAAACTTATAAAAATAAAAAATGAAAATCTTGACTGCAGTAATGAACCTGGCATCCTTCAAATTTAGCAGTTTCTTCTTCCAGTTCATCTTTAAGGGAATCTGCTTTGGATGCAGCAGCCCACATGTCTTTACTTGCTCCATGTGCTCCTTTCACAGCTGCCATCCATCTTGATTTACATGTGTCCATGTCAAGAGCAGCCTTGGATAGCTTCTTCTTGGACTGAGCAATACTTGGAATATCATTCTAGAAAGAAAAATAAAAGGAATGAGACTGTTGGATGGGTGGAAGATCATGGATTTATTCTCGGTCAGGAAGAACATTCAGAGTCTTGAAGGTGCTACTCTTACAATAAATATTACAAATAGTGTAACCTTGTCACATGGTTAGCAAAGCCTGTTAGGCTCTTCATCCAAACCAAACGGGCAGTTCCAGGGGTTCCATGAAACCCTACTTTACGAGATGTTTTGAAGCCAATCATTTTCTTTATGCTCAGTAGATCATAGAATGAAATTGGATGTGATGCTGCACTTGCCGGCTTTTCTTGAGTGGCAGCCATTTTGAAACCCCACTTCTTAAAATCCTTTATCATAATTATGATCATTACAGCCATGAATGCAGGCATCAATAAAACATTTGGAAAAAGTCATGTGATGTGGGCCAGACAAGTTGATATAAGCCGGTTCTGCCTTTTTTACAACATAAATTGGATTGTATCATAACATGCTTATTTACTGAGTTACGTAGGGCCAGAAAGGAAAATGTTTGGCCCTTGGTCATTTGTATGTATGCTTGGTCTGACTGCATGACCTTAAGCCAAATATTTTCCCATCTAAGTACATCTGTAGCACTCTGCCAGTGGGCAAAACATTAAATAAGTAAATAAATCATCATTTCATATCTTACCTCCAGTAGTGTTGTCATAGGAGCAATAACATTCCTTTCTACAGCCATCTCAAATTCACACAACTCCTTGGCAACTGCCAACTCTGCCTCCCCCGCTCCAGACATTATAGTTCTATTATTATTAACAACATATAAAATAATAAATAATAAATATGGCTATAATATTCAATGGTAAATAGGTAACAGTTTTATTTTAAGGGCCCTCTAAGCAAATATATAAGAGCTACTATTTAACTATTTACTGCTGAAAACAAAAACTGAACAAAGAACCATAAAATACAACAAAACAAAAAGGAAAGAAATAAAATACTTTCACTCTCCTCTTTAATGTGTGTACATTGATTTTATCATTTTTTWAAAACACCACTAATTATCTCTATTGTCATGTTGATGTTTTTCTTTTGGTCTTATTCATACTTTTATTAGATTGCCTCCTGTCTGGACATTTTAAACAACATCATGCTATTACTAACATGTCCTCTTTAATTCTTTCTTACCCAAGAACAGAGCTGTCTCCTAACTGATTGCTAGACTCAAGCATACTGTTTGCAAGACCTGTTTGGTTTAGCTTTTTCTGAAAAGCAAAATTTGGATATTTTTTGTAGTTGACTCAACATATCTAACAACAGTTTTTAATGGTATATTTATATAGATATCATATTGAAAATACCTTTAAAAAGGACAAACATGAATGGGTGATTTGAACATTCTATGACTTTATTAATTAGTAACAGATATGGTTAGAAAAGTGTGATGATTTGTGTTCAAATTACCATGGTGTCAGAATGAATTGTCTGGTCACGCCTTAACAAAGCAATGTCATCATGACCAACTTTGGATTTGACAAATAACATWGCCTAAAATTTAACAACAAACCACCATAAACCAACATACATACAATAACACTTTCCATCCCTTATTAATATTTCTGTCTTAACATCAATAGCATTGTATGTATATAACTTTTCATGTAAAAATGAAATATTTAAGGATGAAAAATGAAACACACTCACTTGGTATTAATAAGTCACAATGAAAGACCATTTTCTAGGATTCTTTATCAACAATGAATAGATTCATGGTCAAACATTTTCACATCTTACCATCCGTTTTTCAAAATCACTCCCAGAACCTTGCATTGATGCAGTGATTCGCTTGTTTGCAGATTGACAAGCATGCTTGATTTTCTCCACAGTTTTCTCAACCTACACACAAACATTAGCATATTGAGTTATGTTGCACAATAAAAAAATTAAGCCATCAGACTAGTTTGACACACCTTATTTATTTTACTTCCATGAAATACAATCAGGTTTAAAAGGAGAAAATATTGAATAACTTTTCAATGATTGCAAAAATATTACCAAAACAAATGACATTTTATATTCCTTATACCACTTTCTATCAGCAAAAAACTGAAAATATGTTTTTCACTTTTCATGTAATTAAAGAAGCTTTAAGTTTTCACATTGTTTGAGCTGATGTTCATGATAATCAAACACTATTCTTTCTGTGTTCTCATTATCATTCAGGTCCATGATATTTCACATATTTTCATTCCTTTAAAAAGGTGTTAATGCAATGAAAATAATAAATGTAAATAATGCTTGTATAGGCAGATCAATATTTATTCTTTGTTGAAAACTGACACATGGGACCACCCCCATCCAGTGACTGTTTATGGTATGTAAAATACCTGCATTACAAACTACACCCTGGGTAAACAAATTCTCTTGTTGTAAATCTTGTTATCTTTGCAAACTTTGAAAACAAATCATTTCAAAATCCAAGCCCACTTTTGAACAAGGTCAATGAGAATATTTATGCTGATTGTTATTGTAACAGTCCCATCTCCATTACATGGAACCTATTGACTCTGCTAACGAGTTTATAACTTCCTTAAACACCTTATATACCAGACACAAAATGATTTCTATTCAAACTAACAAGTCGAACATGATAAACTCACAATAGGTGGTCATTATTCGACACGTGCGACGCAATTATAATAATTTTATCGTTTTCAATTGCAAAGAGATATCGTTACACGCTTGAAAAGATCAACTGCTCAGATACTGAATAACATGCTACATACATCACATGATTCATACTTACATTCTGTAAGTCTTCTGACAAGATTTCGGTCTTCTCGGCCCTTGAAAATATAAGAGATTACAAGTGTAGCTAAGAATTGAGCTATTGCACTTTCTTTGTACTGGTCACGTTAGTATAAGGCGGGTCACATCATGACAACAGCTCTTCTACTGTATGGCTACAATGATTTCCGTTCATTYGAGATTCCGAAAAATTTACTTTATTTACCTGCCAACACGTTGATCAGCCAGCTGTTTGACCCGATAAAACTGTTTCTTCATCCTTGCGCGAGTGGATTGGCTGAAAGCCACGGGATTTACAACAACCAGCTATTGAATCACTTACAGCTCCAAAACCCTTCCATTTCCGCCATCTTTGTTCTAATAATTCGGAATGATTGACTCTTGCGCAAAGGTCAAAAGCGCATTCGTTGGTTTTGAGCCCACGGACTTTCGAAACGGAAATGCGTCGAATGTTTTCCGACAGGATCGGCCATTTCACTTCCGTTTTTTGTAAATAATATAAGTCGTGTTGTTTACCCACCTGGTCCTACCTTCGTCCTGCCCAAATACATCTGAACCATCCATTTATCTATAAGTAAGAGAGTTAGTCTTTTATTGCAGTAAATCGTTACGAGTTTTCGAACGACGCGTCGTCCAGGTTTTCTTACTTAGTTTTGCGTTCAGCTACAAATTCCCCCTTTGCCGTCCCTGGAGAGTGTTTTTTTGGTCCTAGCACCAGGTATCTACTACAACAACACTACGTCATATCGATCAGCATTCAATACTTGCCTTGTTTTTGGCAAAGAACTTGTGAAAAATTGCAAGCAAGTTATTTTTGAGGATTAATATTACAATCCACGAGCCATTTCTTTAATTTATCAAGAAACATGTGCCCGAAAGAAAAACCAATTCATTTCACGGCGACTTCACGAGCGAACAAAAGAAAACTGTTAAAATAACCACGAAACGTTCAGATTTCACCCGACTGATAAGTGAATTTCACTTAAAAACGACAAGATGGCCATGGTTCGGAAACATTGCTTTGTTATCATGTTATTGTTGCTGGAAGTCGGTGTTCTATCCAACGGTAAGTTAGTACATCGAAGTTAGATTATATTTAATGCCTATGAATGATGGTCGGCACAAATAAAGTTCGTTTGTTTTTCCAGATGTATATTTCCCGTTGTTTTGAGATCTTTGAGCTAAAAATGGATACCTAATGCATTGATAATATATTGGCTACTTTTGCTATCGGTAGAAAGATTAAAAGTCTCACAAAGATAAAACTTTTCCTAATTTTCATAATGAGAAATTTTCAGCAAATGTGTCCAATCACTTGTGTGGTTTATGTGGAATGGAAACTTCATTATTCAAGAGACTTTACATTTTGTTGGGTTTACATTTTATTGGGTTTACATGTAAGAAAATTTCTTCAGATTAATATGCTGAGGAAAAATTGAAAAAAAGAGAGTGTATTCCGTACGATAATTAGTAACAATCTGTGCCCGTTCGCTGCGATTGCTAAAAAAACGTTGCAAACATCGGGTGATCAAGTTTGAAGTGAAAATGGTATATTTTCAAGATAATAAATATAGAGGAAGGAAGAGGGCACGATTTTACCCCGAGGTGAGCAGATATAGTATTAACTTTTTGTGTTTTTGATAGGAAGAGGGTTGAATTACAGTCTGCTATGTATTTCCTATGCGTAACCGCCTAGATCAAACAATGATTTCCTTATATTTATTACAACAAATCTTATTCATATATCATAGTATGGTCGCTTTATATCGGGTCCATCTTATAAAACTCAGTAAATGTGCTAATTTCTGTCGGTAGCTGTTTCTTTTGCATGTCTTTTAAACCTATTGTTTTTCATTCTTTGACGTATATATCGATGGCAATACGCCACGCATCAGCAATTAGTACAATGGCTTGGTGATTAGCAAATGCTTTGTTATACATTAAATGTGAGTTTAATAAAACATTAATGACGGCTTATCTTGCTGTTTTATAATGCTTTTAAGTATTTTTAATAAGCACAAGCTCGAACTTTTAATCGATCACTTTCAAGTGCTGAAAACGYCATGAAGCAATAAAAATGTTGATATAAATATACGTTCCAATCATAGTTAATTAACTATGTTGAAATATAAGGAGGTAAAGCAAGTTTGTTATATAGAACAATTCGTTTTCTTTATTAAGTCATACTAAGTTCTGAACAGATATTTTTTACCTACGCGTGCAAATAAACAAGACCATATAACGTACAAACTTATATTTATGCATATACATATATATATATTTATTTATATTTATATATATACAGATATATATGGAATAGAGATGAAGCTAGTAAATGATGAAGAATGAAATAAAGTTTGCATGATATCTTATATTCCCATAAATGTTTCATGTACTCGAGAAAAATATTTCTAGTTTTCAATTTWAAAAAATATTTTTGAGAAAATAAATACAAACATTTATGATATTCTTCAATAAATTTTGAATCAATGTGAAGACAACAGACTTTTCCTAACCCTAACTATCCATGTTTTCTTTCTCAGGCCAGACCATACAACCTAAATATACTTCTACATCACCCAACGACAATGCAAATAGTGCTAATAATGCAATAAGGAATTCAGTTGTTTCAACTCTCACAAGAGCAACAACATCAACGAAGGAGCCTTCAACAAAGAGTGTACTTCCAGTAACTGGTAAAGTTAAAACAAAAATGTCTCTCTTAGCTCAGAAATTGGAATTGAAAGATGGAACAAGTATAAACAGAACAGCAGCTAGTACAAGTGCTGACTCAAGGGGAGATGATGGTGAGTAGAGAAGTCATGTACCCAGTGTTGGATCCAAGCCTGGGGGGGGCAGGGGGGGGGGTACTCTTGCCCATTTAGGGTATGGATGTGCTGCTGAGCCCTCTGAACCCTGACCCTGTTCCAGAGTAAAAATCGCTGAAATTCATACCCTGTTCCAGAGCAAGATTGCTGAAAACCCTGTTACAGAGAGGAGAGAGAGCATGATTTCATATACCCTGTTCCAGAGYGAGTGCGATTTTATATACCCTGTTCCAGAATAGAATCGCTGAAAACTATGCCCTGTTTGGTGGCACGTCCCCGTATAGCGAATATAGGGGAGTACCCCCCGGGGATCCAAGGTGAGGGTTGGGGGGTTTTAGTCCCCCTGTTATACCTTAACATCAATGGACTACTTTGACAATGTGATCCAGGGGGCAAATAGATAAAGCTATTTTTTTACGATAATGGCATCGATTGACTTTATGGTTTATAACAAAACAATTTGCCAAGATATGAATTTAAAAATCAAACCCCTCACAATATTTCGTTGTCCATGAGTTAAAAATGTTTTTTTTTTTGCCCCATGGCTGACCCATAATGCCTTGCAATTCAAGATGACCATAGCATTGTCAAAGTAGTGAATGCTTTATATTAATACATCAAATTATTTCCTTTTCTTTGACCAACAGATGGTCTGCCTCTCTGGGCTTACATTTTGATTGGTGTTGTAGGAGTTCTTCTTCTTACAGTATTGGTTTGTTTAGTGTACACAAAGTTTATCAAGTGGTAAGTATCTTTAGTTTACTAAGATGTTCATTTATTTTTAAATCAATAACAAAATGTCAGAGATTTTTAACCATGCATGACTAAGACAGGTAACAGGTAAAATGTCATACAGTAGACAACAAAATATGAACACCATACATACTTATATCGTAATATGCACCCATATACTCCAAGATGATGTGTATATATAATGGTATTACAGGAAAGATCATGGAACATACATGGTATGGGATGATGCTGAATTAGAAACAAGTCCTGCTTTTACCAGGTTAGTTATGCACACTACATAAAGTAGAGATCAATGCAGAAACTCATCAGGGATGTGCACAGAATCGTACTTCGGCAACAAGATGGAAGGAATTATAACTCATTATTGCACAATGGCTGGGACACCCTGCCTTCTGCAGGAGCATACTACTACCATGATTTCTGAGTCATCAGAAAAATACCTTTAATTGATAATATATGAATAAATATCAAGAACTAAACATCATAAAACATTCAATGTATTAAAAGTTTACAATTATTCTCGGGGTGTGTGTGACGTAATAGCCACCATTTTGGTTAATTTGACAAAAGATTTTCTCTTGGTGCCTTTTGTCATCTCAACCATCATGATGGCCATTTCTTATCATTTTTCTCCATGGGAAGCAATGCACATTACTAATAAAAACATCCAATGCATTAAACTCTTTCTTTAACCTTTTTGATCATAGAGAATCAGAGTTTCTTCTTGAAACATCAATAGGTATGTAAATGGACCTTGAGCACATCTAAATTTCAAACATGTGATTATCTAAAAACATTATCTAACGACAAGTTTTGCACTTTTAGGTGGTCAGGAGATGGTCAGTCCAGAGCTACAGCTTTATGAAATACCTCTGGACTCTGTCGCTCATCCAAGGATAGCTTATATTGGCTCAAAACGAGTAGCTCCCAAGAGAATGGATGAAAAAGCAAGAAAAAAGGATGGAGTTTATAATGTTCCATCTTTAACAAGATACAAAAAACGAGATACAGTATACAACTCAGTAACAGACACATGTATGACAAGTGTTATGAGTGAAGGTAGGTGCATATTTGGTTATATTAAACCTCATTATGGTGCCATCATAAATCACTTGTTGCAAGGATCACAATAACTGAATGATGAAGAGGAATAGTAACAAAGTTTTAGCTTCTCTGAAACCAGTCCAATGGACTACTTTGACTATACAGCAGCCATCTTGCCAAGARGCAAAACAAAACAAAGATGACAAAAAATAAAGAGTTTCATGTGTTTGTCTTTATTTTACGGGTAAAGATGATCAATGTGCCATCTTAATTCGTCTTTTCTTGTATTCTCTTGTGCTGAGCTGTCAATATCCATTGACATCATTACTGCAAATTAGATTCATTTGACCCTGGACACCCTATAATGCCTTCCAATTCAAGATGGCCACCATATCATTGAAGTAGTCCATTGTCTATTCATTGATATTGCTATTACATCTTTTCAGGGACCCTTGATGGTAATGGATCTATGAGCAGAAACACCTTAGCAACTGTCATGCTGTCCAATGGAGGGCTAGACAAATATGGATCAACTTCACATCACTTTGACATTGCAACTGCCAAAGGTGTCCCAAGAGACAAGAGCTTTAGCATGGACAGCCGTACAAGAAGTGTATCTAACTTGATCCAAAGTAGGCCTTTACCAGCTGTACCAATAAACAAGCGCTTCTCCAAGAGTTTGGACAAACTAAGGTTCTTCAATACACTACCAGTAATGAAACCCATGTCTCATCATAAATTACCACTACCAGACCCTCCCTTATATGCCAACATGGTGAGGTCTGCAAGCTATGGTTCAAACTTACAAAGAACAATAAACAATAACAACTCTATGGATCCTCCACAGCTTTGTTCAAGGAAAAGTTCGCTGGACTTGCAGTCAAAGACATCACCTCAAAAATCAACACTATCTGGTCACCGCAAGTCTAAGTCCCTGGATACTCTCGTGTTATTAAAGGAAATTGATTGGAATGCTATAAATGTTGATGTTTACCACTCTTATGAAAGTGTTCATGAGACAAAAAATATAAATGATGAATATGCTAGTGTTTCTGATAGTCAGCCAAATTCTCCAACAGCATATTATTCTGATAATCTTTCACAGAAAAGCCCAACAAAATCTAATATCCCAACACCACCGGGAAATAACAATGATCTTGAATCCATTTATGCCAGCTTAAGTCAAGAAGATCTACACAATACAGCCATTCAAAATGTTAATGAAGTTAATGATATAAGCTATGATTCAAGTACCATGTCTTCCTTGTCAAGTGAAACAACATCTCCTTATGCAACTGTTCGCATCAGTCAAATTCCAGGCCTTAACTATGACCATGACAAGCATGAACAAATATACAGCACCAAATCACCTGAAAACTCTGGTGGTAGTTTAGATACGCCAGAAAATTCTGGTTCATCAGTTAGCGAAATAAAGCCAACACCTAATTCTGCTCGCTCAAGCACACATACATATCTAGAGTTGTTTCCTGGGGATACTAACAGGGACAGTATCATTTCAGAAACAAGTTCAGGTTATGCAAGGCCTGTTGCTGTCATAAAAGACATTGAAACAATAAACAAAAAAGAAAAGGACAAAAAGACAAGTGAAAGGATAAGCTTATCAAATGTACCAATCCCAATTGAAACTGCAGTTACATTTGATGAAGAAAAAAATGGTGATCCTTATAGAACAGATGCAGGAGAAAGTGAGGCGTATGACAACCCGGTCAAGGTATCTGATGATGAAAGTCAAAGAGTCAGTGAACTTAAGGATATACCAAAGGAGAATGAGACATCTGAAACTGAAGGAAGAATACAAGAAAATCCGTCCTCTATTAAAGGACAAACCTCTTTAACACAATATGAATTTGTTGAAGAAAAGGGTGAAAAGTTTCATGTAAATGAATGGCCATCAAGAGTTAGAAGTTCTAGTGAGCATAGCGAATGTGAAATTTGATGCAAATAATCACCAGTAGCTTAGACTATTAAATTAACAATTGGACATAAATGCCTACTAATCTCTTAAAATAAATGGATACAAACAAATTTGAAATTAGGTTGAAAACATAAGTCAGGCTCCATTGTTTTGATTCTCAAAACTGGCACTTTTTGCTACTAGTGATCTCTCACTAATAGGCTCAGCCAATCAGAGCACAGCCAATCAGTAGCTCAGCCAATCAGAGCACAGGATTCATGATAGATCATTTTATAGTAGGGTTAGACTGAAACAGGTTATGCAGACAGCTGGGCATCCCAAAATAGTACAGTTATAAATCCTTTTTTAATTCAAACAAACTATGCATGTCATAATAAAGCTCACTGTCTCTGTATGTGCTGCCAGTAATAACCTTTAACGATGCACACATTGTTGAATTAACTAGCAATATATATAACACTGGTTGTGCAAGAAATCTTAATGTAGGTATTGCCCTGTGCAGGACACATGGGATTTCATGCAGAGTAGTGGTTGAACTGCTGGTATAATCCCTTTACAAAAAGATGGTATGGTATGAAATGTTATTACTGACAGTAGGCACAGAGCCTAATAGACCTTATTCATTATGGTGTAATGTTTTCTCATAAGTAATTAACAGACCATCAAGGTATCATTCCCTAGAAAATAAAATTGAGTTTCATTTTTTAAGGTTCGGTATCATGCATCCTGATCGTCTGTGTGAGAGGTCTCGTATCCTGGGGTAACGATTGCTAAACAACAATAAACAGGAAAAAGAGTTGGTCCAGAAAGGGAAAAACTTAAAATGCCCTTGGGCACTGTTTTTCTCTATCCACCCTCCTAGCTGCTAAAGAAACTATGTGTATCCATATTAATGTGTCTTCTCATGGAAAACTGTTAAACAAAGAAATTATATTCTAGGGAATGATACATGGTTCTGTAATGGGAAAACATTGTACCAAGGTAGCTAAAGGTCTATTTGTTAATATGTTCTTTCATAGGGAATAAAATTACAAGACATTTTCTGCCTTTGAAGATATATCATYATCCAACATTTGGCATTAAAAAATTGAAGCCGATTTATATTAAAAATATAGTTATAATACATTACAAGGGTATTTGTAAACTAGTTTAATAAAGAAAGTTGTAGAATATTTTTATGGCCTTCCAATGTAAATATGAACAACAAACAACTCTTACAATATTATAAGGCTGGTGTCAGCATTAACTTTTAAAACAATAATTTAGTTCTAACTCAATATGGACCTTTATAGCAGAAATGTTAACTGGAACAATGGATTCCCCCCACGTAGCCTCACATTCAAGTGCTTTGGGATAAAGTTGTGTGTAGTTAAATGAAGATTATTATTGCCATGGAAATAAACGCGGTTCCATGTGATAAAAATCCATTATACACACAGTTTATATTTGTAGAGTATAAACAAGAAAGTCTTGGTTAACTATACATGTCTTGTCATACCCCAGTTCCTGGCTCTTGATTCAATGACTGACATTATTTGCCTTCTTGTTTCTGGTGACGTATCCTTTTTAATGAATTCATCCCTCATAACTGCAAGAAGAGAATCTAGCTCCTTAGAATGGTCTTGTTCTAGCTTTCTACCCACAAGTATAAGGGTTACAACCAACTTCTCCATAATGCTTGGTGACAAAATTTCACGTTCAATCAAAAGTACTGAAAATTTTATCAAACTGGCTTCCATAGCTTTCCCTTGGGAATCATCCAGATTGCGAAAGAAATTTAAGATTTTGACAATGACATCTTCTGAAATATTGTCATCCTTAGAATTGATCACGTTCATTACATCATCAAGTGTGATAATACTTCCATTATCAGTATTACTGCTATCAGTACTTATACCAGTAACATAGCCAACACCAGAATGGCTGGCTTGTGTATTCAGGTTAATCATACTGCGCCTCCCTGGAGTGATATAAATGGCTTGTTCTGGTCGTCTACCTCTCCTACTTTTCTTTGACACTTCCATGGTCAGGGTGACTGGAAAACTGAATATACAAATTATGTGAATGAAAACGTTATCTGGATCAGTATGCAAAGAGAATTTACAAGTTTACACGAGTTTACAAAAAGGAAATTGATAGGCATCTGAAATCCAATTTTAACAACAATGGTTATTGAAGTTAACTGATATACTGAGTTTAACTTGAACCATCCCAGCAACCACAAAAGAATTCGCTTACTGAATGATAGTAAACAAAAGTTCAAGCATGATAAGATCAGCTGTTTTGACACCAAGTGGTTTGAATGACCCTCTCGACTTAAGAACACAATGAAAATGTACTCGTACAAACTTTTTTCTCTCGAAAGAAAGTCTGAAAGCTCTATATTTGGTCTAATAGAAAAGTGATAAGAACGAGAGGCTTTAGTTCGTTTGGTCGAGTGAAGGGGCGTGAGTTGACTAAACCCCACTAAAATTGACCTGAAGATGTATTCTAAACCAAAATTAATTCTGGGAAAGATTGGTAATTTTCAATTAAAGACATATTTTTAACGAGCGTACTTACAAGACTTACAAGTAAGAAAATAACGAGGACAAGAACTTGTGGCAAAAACAACTCTTTCTTGGCCCGTCAGACACTGATATTTGACGCCGACTGATCTGAAAAGAGTGACAGAATATGGCGCCAAAAGCCATTCCATATATGGATAATGGCTGAATCGAGGCTGTGAGGTACGACCTGGCTCAATAACCTCGCTTCCATGCCTTTACTTGGACAAACGAGGTAAAGTATGGGAAAACGGGATCAGATTAATAGTCGAACTTCATTTACGATACACACTAGTATTTTGTATGCAAAGCATTTATTTCCAAAATGCGTGAAAAAGGTTAGTGACAATATTGCATGTACTATTCACATACTAGTAGTTTTGTTGGCCAAAGTTATCTTTAAATTTTAAGTTAGTTAGTGGTACAAATGGACATTGGATAGCAAAGTCCTTTATCCCCTATAAACGAATGTTCTTTTACCGTCTTGGTTACATATGTGTGTAACAAATAATACTATGGCCGAGCATTAAATGACTTCTTTCACCTCATAAGGCAACACCCTGTACTGTTATTAAGCAATTTTGAATATGCTTTAAACCCAGTTGAACAAATCCATTTTTAACATTATCGAGGGTTTATAATGTGGCAAGAATCCGACAGACATGGAACAAGAACTATGATTTGTTAAATTTTGCTGCCATGGACCGCGTGACTCTACGTGTGCCTGAAGCAGTTTTTGGTCTGATGTTACTTTTGACTGGATTTTGTTTTGCTGAGGATTCACGAACTTGACGATTTCCTTCTAGACTCAGCCTAGAAGGTCGACTGTACTGTTGCTGGGTTTTCTTGTCTTCTTCGTCACCTCTTGTCACTCTGTAAGTTTGTCCCCCCGTCAGACTTCTTTTCACTGGCAACTTTGAAATAGATGACTTTTCTTCATCGTTAGCTTTAGTACGTTTCACTGTTGTCTGCAGCTTTCCTTCTAAGCTCATTCGAGGTGGTTTACGTAAAGAAGCACTATCGTTTTCTACACTTCTGCGCGAGATGGATTTTCTGTTTGATTGCTTGGTCATGGCTGTAGCAGGCCTATTGTTGTAGGTGTTCTTCTTGATGATACTGCAAGATAATTATCATAACGTATGAATAACGCCTGCAGTATTAAAATACCAGTAAATATGTGATCTGCTTTTCAAAATCACGTCACAGGCACAATTGCAAGTTCCAAAAGGAATTCTCCATTCCGCGTTCCAACTCGTGTAACCAGGAAAATGAGTCGCGCGTATAAATTTACTGTATATGGCCTTTCAGCATAAGAATGGTCACTTAAGGTGAAATTGAATATTGATCGGGATATACCTGTGTCTTGGTGAAGGAGCAGTCCCAGGACGTCTTCTTCCTGCCAATCTGCAAACAAAAAAGCTTGAGGTTAGTCAGTAGAGATGGCAACGAGCCGGTCAGGTTAGCCAGTAGAGATGGCAACGAGCTGGTCAGGTTAGCCAGTAGAGATGGCAACAAGCTGGTCAGGTCAGCCAGTAGAGATAACAATAAAAAGTGTTAATTATTTACCTTGCTTTGTCTTGTAGTTGAGGTGATTTAGTACTTTGTACAGGCTTCAGTACCCTGTAATTTTAAACAACAGAAGCTGTGAGTACATACAATTACTAGCCAGATCTACATAAACGTGTTATACCTGATATCCCAGTTCTTTCTCCTTCCAAGTGGACTGTGAGTTGATGCCCTTTTAACATCAGAGTTTTCATTTCTATTGCATGTTAAGGAACTGGACAAGTTTGGGATTGGGGGGGAGGGGGGGTCAATATTTTAGAAGTCCCTTGCAAATACTGAATTTTATATCCGATATAAAATAAAATAATAGCAAATAAATTTAAGATGGCATTCAGCCGCCTAGCTCCGTGGTCCCTGAAAGGATTATCAAAGAGATATAAGCAAAAGTGATCAAAAGAAAATAACATCACATTATCTAGAGTTAATTTAATAGAACGTTGATGTAAGGATACTGTTCTACAACTCGCCGCTGCATAGCTTTTAAAGTAGCAGAAGAGAGTTTTCTGGCCGACTTTTTGCTCTGTGACAGATAACAGAAAGGAAATGTGAAATGAAAACAGAACTAGCTGTGATATCTATCAATTTCGTTTGGCATTCCTACCTTATCATATTGTCTCTCTTCTCTTTCTTTAGCCACATTCCTTGAATGAGTTATGTATGACATTCTATCATGAACTGCAATCTTGAAGAAAATGTCGTATAACTTTTGCTTGGCAGCAACCAACTGCATAATAAAAGTTAAAAAATGCATTAGCAAAAAGCTATTTAACATTTACATTGCAAAAGGTCATTTTCCATCAAATTATGTGAAGTATAAAATGCTTTCATTGTATCAGAAGGTGAATTGGGGAACCGCCCTACGATTCAAAAAATATCCCTTAACTTTAAGAGCGTCGTCTTTACAAGCTTTACCAGTCACATTTCTAATTTTTACCGGCATCAGTTATTACAGGTTTTCATTATGTTTTGAAGTGATAGGAGAAGATCATAAACTAGCCAGAAAGTCAATTAAGTTTTGACATGATAGGTCAGAGAAGATCATGGTAGTGTAAACCAGAGAATTTTGCTCAGTTACTGGTCACTACTCATTCTCTGGTCTCCAACCCTTAATGAAAACCCTGTACCATGTCCAGTGAATGACTAGTGATTTTAGCCCTAATAGATATATTTGATAAAAGTGATTGGTACCTGTGCTTGCACCCTCTGTTGTAATGATTTATCTTGATAAGAATTAGTGCCTTCTTTGGATATGTCAGCAAGGAACTCACTTGTATCCTGCATTACATTACAGTGAATAACAATTAATTAATTAATTTTTGTTGTTTATATTGTGGCATAATGGAGATGAATTGTACCTTAATTGTTTTAATGATGGCTTGTACTTTCTCTGCCTTTAGCAAGCATCTAGTGAGAAATCCCTTAGAATAGGCTGTTAGAATAGAAAACTTATCTCTTCCATCACATCCTTGGTTCATCGCCATCTATGACAAAAACACATGATAAATACTGATCACCTCCTGCTACAAACTGTAACTGTGCACTATTCATTTTCTATCATAAGGAATACAAATGCAATTCAAATAGTGCTCATACATAAAATGCAAGCAAATAATATAGGATAAGCAAAGCTATTTTTTTACTGTGCTACACAGCATACTGTGGGCACTTCCACAAGTTTTTGATTGTCAACTTTTAATGTGCTGTTTACCACTAATCAATTTTTATATGATTGATGATTAAAATCTTTGATTCACTCTAAAATATCCCTCTGTCAAGATATTGATTTTTTATGTAACTTAGTTCTTAGATTGACAGTTGTTGAAATGCTTGGGTTAGGGTTAGGGTCAGCAACCGTGACATCAAACATTGCAGGTCACACTATGGTAGTATAACATCAGAGTGAAGAGCCAATGCATAAATGGTTAGCAGTAAACATCACAATAAATGGCTTCCAAAAAAAATGGGAAAAAAAGGTGTCCATGCTCCAACATGTAGCACAGTAACTTGCACTGCTCGATCATGTTTTATCACTAGATGAAGATTATACCTCAAATTGTTTCAGAAACTCCTGCCTCACATATGGACTTGGACTGAATGGACCATGTTGCTTAGCCTGAGATCTGTTTTCCAAAGTGTCTTGCCTGTAATGTACCACTGAATTCATGTCATGGTACATTCTATGCTGAGGATCATATGTGTAGTGATTATTTTCTTTATCTGATGCAGATTCAGCTTCATTCTGATCATCTCCCTTGAGACTAAGTGACCCTTCAAAGCTTCTTTCAGATATTGAATACATATCACTTGATGGACGAGCATTGAATTGTTCATCATTATACATATCTCTTTCATCTGACTGTGTATTTAGTTCTTGCAATAAATTGAACTGTTTTTGATTGTCCTTATTTTTCTTCAATCTTGCTAGTTCTTGTTGTCTTAGAAGTGCAACTTGCTTTTCCTTTTCCTCCAACAGTTTTTTCCTCATCATTTCAAGCTTTTCTAGTGCTTTATCCTGTTCAGTGTAAGTCTCTGTACTTTTCTTACTAGCAACATGCTTGACTGGTGCTTTTTTCTTTGCTCTTTGACTAGACCTAGTATCAGGTCTTTGTAGCTCATTAGGGGTGCTTGTTAGGGGTTCCATACTCTGGTAATATAAATGATTGGGATTTTGATTAACATTATCCATGTTGAGCTTACGTTGTACTGGCTTCACAGTCTGCTGTATACCCTCCATGGTGGATAACTGAGTTGTTACACTAGAATCTAACAAAACAGAAGGAATAATTAGAACTGGTAAT